GCGCAGAATTGTCCCGGAAGAAACGTATTATGGTGGACACCCTATTTGCTGATGCTCTATTCCGTTGGTAGTGCACTCGGGTTTTCAGCGTTTACAAGTGCGTCATTTTTGTGCAGATGTAGTCGCTCACGTAACTGATGCCTTGACATAATGTATTGGCTCTGCCGGCGCTCATCGATTGGAATTTGGTTTCCGATGACTACGCAGCGACGAGTTGTAATTGATTTTTGCAGCGAAAATTTTGCTCTTAATCCTTGCTTCACTTATTTCAGCCTTTAGATAGAAGCTTCTAGTTAGTAGTGCCAGGTTATGCAGGAGTCACGATTGTAGGTGGAAAAGAGCTCCTGACCGTGGTGCCGTTTTCAGTGTTTGTACGCTTTCGGAATAGACGAACACGTGCGTGCTGAGTCGTGGAGATTGCCTGCTGAGGAGTGCAATCTTCACAACCCAGCATTTCGTAAACAAAGAGCTTCTGGCCGGTGCGATCCTCCGCGCTCGTGCGTATGGCGGGTGCTTTGCTCGCTTTCCGAAACGACAAAAAATCATAGCAGTCTGGGTTGTGATTTTGTATATTTAAAAACGGTGTATAAAAATCTTCCGGCATCTGCTCACCAGATCACCAGAGCTTTAAAGAAAAACATTGCACCACATTTACCGCTTAATCAAAACACTTAGAATGGTTTCCTTTCGGCTTTTTTCTAACTTTTATTTCACAATTATTGTTTACGTGCAACGTGAGCGAGCGTGCTCAAGCGCGGGGCATTAATGAAGAAGTGAAGAGCACGCGTGTACAGCTTTGAGTGGCGCTCAAAGCTATATACGCAACTGGACGGGCGCTTGTAGCGTTGGTGCCATAGCCCGGGAAAGTTGCGCTACATTTGTGCAAGGCAAATGTAGCGCAACTACTAGACGCGCCGTAGCTCGACACCGGGCGCGGGCGAGGTCGGTTTTACCAGTAAACTGCAATATTTTCTTGCCCTCTTGAGAATGGGTTTGAATAAACCCTCCTAAAATAATCAAAGCCTGTGCATAAGAATTTTGATGTCGTCTCAATAAGATCGAGCGCAGACACAAATAATTGGACACGCGCGCTGCATCAACGTTCGGCTTGAAGTCGTGTCTAGCCAACGCGTCGAGAGACGCTCAGCGTCGGGCTCGGGCCGACCTATTGACTTGGCGCCATTACAGTGTGATGCCGTACCGTTAGAGAAGACGAAGGTGTTCGCAGGCTCATCTTCTGAGACGATGGAACGATGTATGCATGACGTAGTGATGACGTGCTTGACAACGCGCAATGCCACGACAACGCGCGCTTCCCCTTCACTTTCAACCCCGATGCAGCGGGCAACGGCAGCGAGCTATCCGAGCAGAGTTACGCAGGGCTCTAAGAGACCAATCGTACCAAGCGTTCAGCGCATGCGTGACGCCGCCATAACTTTAGTTTGCAGGAGGCAGACAGTCGTGCATGCGAGGGTTCGTGCCTTCTCGTGCTCCACACGCGCAGAGCTCCAGCGAGCTCTGCGCGTGTGGAGCATGTTGTCGCACGTGCAGAAAGACTAAAGTTCCCTCGATGCATTGCGGCAGCGGTGACGTAGTCAAACTGCCTGGTGATTCACTGGTGGCCATATCTGTGTGCGTGGTTGCTGAGCGCGTGCTAACGGCGAGCTTCCAGAGCTCTTCTGTAACGTGCATTCCACACCATGAAGATTGCCGGTCTTAGCAGGCTATTAATGTAAGCTCATTCTGAGCATGCGCCCTAAACATCGCCCTCAAATATGGCGTCCGGTGAATGCCCCCTATTGACGCTTTGCAGCAGCTGTGCATGGGCGCCCCGCCATATAACCGACCTTCAATTTTTCTTTCCTCTTACGTTTACCTCACTTCATTATGACCACAGCAGGGTAGGTTATTGCAATTTTAGACGATACTGTCTCCTTCTCCCTAACATTCAACTTTATGGAAGCAGGGCCGTGGTGGAATCTTATCAACGCCCACTTCGCTGGCTTCGCACCTGGTATAAGGCAAGAGGAGGTCAGCAATGGCTGCTGTAATTTGGCGCCTGTGTAAAACGTCGATACAGCTTGCTTGCCTGCTTCACGGGAAAGTGGAGAGTGCACGTGTACAGATTAAAGCCGTGCTGAAGCTGAGTGCAGGGACACCAAAAGCTTTGGCCATAGCCTCTATTATATGGGACTATGCATTGGCTTCGTAGCCACAGAAAGTGGTGTCTAGCCAACGACATGCAGCACGTACAGTTTGCTTGACATCGGATTTGGCCGAGATCGGCTTTACCCAACGGCTTTGCCGGAGAACTGCGAGATTTTATTGGCGTCTAGAGAATGGCTTTGAGACGATGCATGTAGGACGTTGTGATGCCATGACAACGTACGCGCCCTGTCAGCGCTGCCCTGTGCCTTCCTTTCACTTTCGGGAGCATATAACCGCGGCCGAGGCCACGAGCCATTCCAGAGTGACTATCACAGCCGATTCAGCACCACGTGACCTAGAGCTCCAGGAATCGCATGGCGAACCTGGACAGTCACATCCCCTCAGTGCTGGAATGATTATGATGGCTTATAGTGCCCGCGTGATACATTTTGTATGTTGGCAAAATTACACGGACTTTTGCATATCTCAGCACCTGTGCATTGCCGCCGCCATAACATATACCTTCCGTTTTTGTCTCTTCTTGTCCCTATTAGTCGACTTCATCATTACCATAGCAACTCAGGTTATTGCCATATTTTTTATTGTGCTGTGTCATTTTCAGCACTGGCTCTTGTGAAGGCTCATCATCGTCCGTTTTTGTGGCTCGGGATCTCGGGAAGACACAGAGAATAAGTCAGCAATGGCTTCTGTAATCTGGCGCGTGTCTGAAGCGTCTATATACTCAACGTTCTATTTCCCCGGAAGTGCAAGCGAAGCCGAAGGCACGAGCGCAGTGGTTCTATGGCCTTCACTGATGTCACACCAGCTGCCATTGGAGGCCTTGCTGCTGAGCTTGTATCTAGTATAAACTGTGTAATGTCTGTTTTTTTTTTGTGGAAATAGTTTAATAGACATTGGCATGGTGGAAGGACGTTATGTGCAAGCCATGTATAGCGCTAACTGGGCCGAACTTAAGTCTTCTTGCCTTTTGAACTACCCGACGCCGTAGACTCGAAGAGATGAGTTGTATGACCACAACCACGGTTGTCACCGGATCATAATCATCAACGCCTGCCCTGGTTCACGCTAGAGCCACTCGATATGGCAGCGTAGCTGCTGCCATAGAGTGGCTCTAGTTTACGCACGTACCGAATGTGAAAAACATGACATTTCTACACAGATCGATAATTAAATGTAATATGGCCTGAGCTCTGACGTTAAAATATGCCACAGCGATTTTTTTTTCACAAACATTGGATGGGCCAGAAAATAACCCAGTTGTGATACGGCCGATAGAAGCCAGGGAAGCCAAACCGGCGCTCTGAGAAAAAGTCCCTGGATAAAATTTACGCTTGGCGCGTCTCACAAGTACCGACAACCGTGAACTGTTGGCGAACGCGAAAGAGACGTACTATGAGACCATTAGCGAGAGCTGCACCGCAGTTTCCTTCAGGCACCGCTCCATAGCTGCTCATCATTTTAGGGCTGCGCCGCTGTATTCTTCCAAATGTCGCACGAGGCACAGGCTCGTGTACATTCGCATATTTAATGATTCGATGCCGTTTACAAGACAAATAAACAGATCTAGGGGCTTTAGTGAGGGCGTGTGACCCTTTGGTGTGATCTATAGGAAATCGCGGAGCGCGAGGCTACGAGTCATGTCCTTGCCACTATACAGACGTCGTCGCTCTATAAATGAAAAGTGAAAGCTCGTCGCATGGCGGCGATACCCTGCGCGTTACCATGGCATCACTATATCATACAGGGTGTCACAAAAGAAAATTTACACGGTGTTTTTTACCGCAAAAATAAACTAGGCATCGCCGAACACTCATTCTCCGCCCAAAGGTAAAGCTAGAGGTCACAACCAGATGCCAAAGTTTCAGCCCGATCCGATAACTTAATCAAAAGTTATAAGTGATTTTCTGAAAATTTCAATGGAAAAATGGCGGCCGACGGAGTTTTCAAACACATGGGGCTCTATGGCACCAGAAACCGGAAACGGGCAAAAATGGGCCCAGTTTTCCCATTGAAATTTTCAGAAAATCACTTATAACTTTTGATTAAGTTATCGGATCAGGCTGAAACTTTGGCATCTGGTTGTGACCTCTAGCTCTACCTCTGGGCAGAGAATGAGCGTTCGGCGATGCCTAGTTTATTTTTTGCGGTAAAAAAGACAGTGTAAATTTTCTTTTGTGACACCCTGTATACATGCGCCGCCTCTCGTGGGTGGTATTTTTGTGGGGTGCCGCCGACAGAAATATCGCACAGTCCATGCTCTGACAAAATGACAAAACTGATCTCGGTGGTGTCAAGTAAAGTATTCGTGTCGCGAGTCGCCGACCGTGCTGGCACGTGAAAACGGCAGCGAAAAAATGCTCTGGCTTGGGGCATTTTGTGCTGGTGTCGCCGTCTCGCTAAACCCGCTGAAAAAAAAAAAAAAAAAAAAAAAGAATCTAGCAAAATCGGCCCTGTCAAATTTGTTTGCACAAACAGGAAAATACTAAGGCATTTAGGCTTCCGGTCAGGGTCTTAAAATTAAGCCAGCAGATACCTCCAGTACGTAATATCATTCGTTTTGACACTTTTATAATTTTTAGATTATAAAATTATACTTAGAAGTAATTTTATAATCAATATTTTCTCAAAATACGTTGAAAAGAGTCAAAATTGTCATATTTCTGGATTTTATTAAAAATCTCAAGCGCTCCAAGAGAAAAATTTAAGGCTTGTACGACCTTTATTACATCTTCATAATGATCCACAAAACGATTCAATACTCTGGTGCATTCTTGAAACTCAGATTTGCGTAGCGAAATTTGCTAATTGAGTGACGAGTGGGTGAATTCCTCCTAACCCGCGATGCATTGTCCCTTGATGCATCTCTGAAAGAGAGGAAAGTATGCAGTTAGCAAAGATGGTAGTTATGAAGGCACAACTCAGCTGCAAAAAAGACACAGAAAGAGAGAATAAATTAAGAAACAGAAAAAAAAATGAAGATGAGAAAAAAGGAATGAATGATAACACCAAATATCGACAGAAAAATGTTGAAAAAGTGAATAAAAAATGGTTACCATAATTTACCTTTAAAGTTCTCTAATGCGTGAAATGCAGCCTTTAGGAGTGCGTGGCATGAGTATATTTTCTCGCTAAATTCAACGAAAAAACTGAGTTTCTGTGCCACATGACCAAGGGAATAGGAGGAGAAATAAGAAGAGGGAGGAGAGGGAGGGAGAGGTAAAAAAATGGAGGGAGGTGAGCAAAGAGGGTCCTAGGAGCAAAATCACCAAGGTTATCTAGGAGGTGTTGCTAGGAGGGGGAGGGGGATGGGGAGAGAAAGAGAGGCGGGAGGTTGGATAGGATGGGTTGTGGAAGTTGGTGTGTCATGTGACATCACCTGACATGACGTAGAATACCGCGCTAAATTGATCGGGGAAACTGGATTGATGTTTAGGTCACAAGACGTGAAAGTTCTCGCTAAACTTAGCACGGAAAATGAATTTGCATATAGGTCAGGTACCCTCCATTTTCCCAGGTATATAGCACAACGTAACGTCCCGTCACATCACTTTCCCAGCTAAATTTAGCGGGAATTGGACGGATGGACGAACGAACGGACAACAATTTTGGGGTTGGGTTTTCCGTTCAAAAACATTTCGTGCTTTATAAAACGGTTGACATTTAGGACACTGATTATGGCCTGAAAGGGCTGGTGGTGTACCTGCTGCAGGTTTTCGGGAGCGGAATCATTCTGCCGCTTGTGTCATCCTGCACAGTGTGTCTCAGGGCTTATCCCGGTTAACGCGACATATTCTGTATTTAAGGTGTCGAAAATATCTCAATACTTTCTGCCACCGCGGCTACGCGACCACTCGAAAGTGACGTCGTGTGCTTTCTCCACTCGTGCATCTGATTAAATAAAATGTCTATGAGCAGTTTATAACCGGTATTCTTTGAGCATCGATTGTAAAGTAAGATCATCTCAGAAAGCACTCCTTGTCCTCGCAAACATCCGATTTCTTTATTTGTCAAGTTTTTTTGGTCTCGTTTTAGTTAACAAGAGCCGTTTCCGATCAGTTTGTAACGTAATTCAGCGTATAGCGCTGAGTTCAACTGGTATCTCACTTCCAAAAAACTGGCTAATAATACTTCCGCAGCAGATGGCACAACTAGAACCAATCAGCTACACTCTTTTTGAGCCATATTACTTTCCAAAGTTTATTCGACTCCTTTTTCTTTCGCCCTCTCTCCCTCGAATACACACACAAGCACCCTATCACTTTAAAGCGCAAGAAGGTGGTTCGAGGGAAAAGAAGGTTGGGGAACAAGAACCAGACGGAACGCTAGAGAGGAAAGGGGGAAACCTCCTCTTCTCTCTAGTGTTCCGTCTGCTTTGCCTCCTCCCCGGCCTTCCTTTCTCTCGCCCGATCTTCTCTAAGTGCAACGTACATATAGTTATCGCGAGCATAACTGGTACCCCCCTCTCCCCCCTCCCCCCGACAGCTCGTGCATTACTGCTGTGTACATGCAGGAGGGAGGGTGTCTGGGTACCAGTCAAGCTCCCCGGGCAGCTTTTCTCCTCAGCTTCCCACCATGCTTGTAGATGGTGAATGAATATATTATTATTATGAAAGGTCGCTCCGCTTTTGTTTTAATTTTGCGCATTTTCCTTACCATTCCTTTGTCACAGATCATGCCGTCTTGAGCCTGGATAACGAAGGATCTCTCTGACCCATCAGTAGTGTTACCTGAACAAATCACCAGGCAATTCACCTCGTTCCGCAGGTCCTGCGTCCGAAGTTGTAAGATGCACAATTTAGGTTTCCATGACTAGTAGCGTACTTTTCATGCGATACACGGGTATTCTGCTGAGATGACGGAAAGAAGCGGAAAATTGGCGGCATACAAGGAATATACTTAGTGGGATCTGTCTGCTTTTGGGGAGCCGTTCAACAATATTGGGTTGGAATACTTCTTGCCTAAAACAAGCATGTCACTGTAGGGAAGTTTCACGTGACACACTTGTTAAGAATTGTCTTCTTTTGGGGAGCCGTTCAACAGTATTGGGTTAGAATACTTTTTGCCTAAAACAAGCATACGTTCACTGCAGGGAAGTTTCACGTGACACACTTCTGGCTCGAAATCTCGTCAGACGCCATCTTGGTGAACTTTCGCCATGTCTTTCTATGAGCCGGTTCGGTATCTGAAAGTTAGGTGGAACTTTTTTGTTTTTGCCTCGTGATCAACTGCGTTTGCCGGAGTAGTGGGCGACACAACGTAGCAATATCTGGTGCTAGAAATTTAAGCATACCGGTCTTTAATTGGACTTAAAACGAGCCGGCGATCGAGAAGTCGACCAGTCGGTGGCCGTAAAGGCCCCGGTAGATGCCGCTCGGGCGACACCAAAGAGAAAGGAAAACTCGCATATATGCGTCGCAGATGCGTCCCGGATCGTATAATTAAAGGGGGGGGGGGGGGGTGCAAAGATTTTATGATTAAAAGAATTAGCATCTCGTCATTTTTACGTTGTTTATCGTGTCATGGAGGACAGAGAAAACATCTCCTTCATTAAAAAATACCGCGATTCCGCTGCATAATCGCAAAGCAAAAGTCGAGCTTTTTCCTCCACCTGCAGCCGCATGTGGCAGCCGAAGGAACTACGGCGATAAGATTACGTGATCTCGCTCGACTCTAAAGGCCCGTTCACACTCTTGCGACCGAGTACGACTTAGAGAGACGAGATCTCTTACAACTTCTTAAATGTTTCTAGAATGAGGGAACACACTGACATTGTGGCGCCATCTATGCGGTGACCCTAGAACTGCATTTCACAAAAGCGAAGGTTTTGCGGGATTTCCGAGGTCAAATGTGCGTAATACCTATAGAAAAGCTCGTTTATAACATTGACAAAAGTTTTTCGAGCCAAAAAAGAAAGGATATTGCGCGAGAAATAAAAAAAATATGCCGGACCGCCGAGTTTACACTGCTTCCCAATAGATGGCGCCAGTGTGTTCTCTGGTTTAAGAAGTTTTAAGGAACCCAGGTTTAAGAGGTCGCAAGCAGTCGCAAGAGTGTGAACGGGCCTTAAGGTGCAGCATAACGCCCGCTAATGTCAGCAGAAAGAGGGAGAGGAAGCGTCCTCCGAGAGAGCACACGGGAAGCTACACGGCACTCTGAATGGCGTCACTAGTAGGAGTGCGACCAGGTGTGACCCTGAAGACTAGGAATGAGTTCTGGGGTGCCCGAAATGACAATATTTATCTTTTTTCATGCGTGATAACTAGGACGCGCAGGCGGAAATGGGTTTCTGTTCTTTACTTCAGAAGTGTCGCAGGGCAACTTCCACAAAGCTTTTACCGAAGTCCGGAAACCGCGGCACTCCCCCCCCCCCCCCCCCCCCCCCCCCCCCCCCCCCCCCGCGCCCTTTTTAATGAGTCCTGTCGTCGACGGAACCACCGCGCCATGCTTCAGAGTTTCGCAAACACCAAAAACGACGCCAATGACAAAATGTTAGCTTGTAAAGAAACGGTGAAAGTGGCGGACGCATAGTTTATCGACACAGTGAGACGCGGCGTAGTGGATGAAAAAACAAACAAAAGAGGTGCATCGGGGAATCGCGCTATGCACAAGGCATGTTCGTCTGCTTCTTTTCCAGGGGTTCTGTTGTCGTCAGAAAGTTGAGCTCTAATTGGATCCGATTTAAGGACAGTTGCTAGACCTCAAGGCAGCTTGCTCCGAGGTCTACCCACTATCCTTCAATCAGAGCCAATCAGAGCTTGACGTTCTGACGTCAGCAAAACCCCTGCAAAAGAGTCAGACGAATTTGCGCTCCGAATCGTCACCGCAAGCTTGATCAAGGCAGAGTGTGGCATCTTATGTTCAGGCTTCTTGCTTCCTGATTGGTCCTTCGACGTTGTTATTGGCTGATGCTTTAATCTCATTGGCTGTGCATCGATAATAAGACTCGCGGAACTCGACTCGCCCTGCTTTGCTGAAGCTCTTTGTGACTTTAGTGTAACGTAACGTACCAATCGACTTACAAACTTTTTTTTCGCGATGTTGCGCGGCTACGTCATCACATTGCGTGATGACGTAGCCGCGCGGATCGCAATGTTGACGTCGACTCAAGGATGACTGCCTTGTGACGATAATCTCACGCGGCTCAGTCTCTAAAAAAAGAAAAAAAAAAGAAAGAGTTTTTGAAAGGCTTTTTTGACACCCCAAGAACTCGTTCAGCTTGTGAAAATGGTTTTCCCTAGAGCACTATATCGTCCCCTGGAGCACTAGAAAGGCAACTGAGCAATAGAAAATTCTTACGCATCAAAAAGGGAGCCTAGAAGTACGCCGTATAATATGTCTTCTTTATGACGAAAAAGATTTTTTTGGGGTGCTCAAAGTGACCCTATGGACAAGCTCAAGAACTCCAACGAGGTCTTTTACGACCAGATTTTTTTTACAGTGTAGTTATGATGAACACCATAAACAAATATCAGCGCGAAATACAAAGGACACGGGAAGACAGGACAGGAGAAGCGCTACTTTAAACTGATGTTTTAATGAAAAAATAAAGAAAGGACGGAGGTGAATTTATATAAAAAAGCTAAAATCAAATAAAAAAAAGGAAGGGATGTAGAAGGACTGATACAATAAAAAGTTACTTATAATTAAACATTGAGAGATAAAAATAATAAAGAAAATTATTTCAAAAATTGAAAACAAAAGGTCAGGAAGAAAAAATATTTCTTTATTATATCGTTATAAAATTTATGTTTGGGTGATTTCAGATAAGATCATACAGGGGGTGGCTGGTCGACCTTTTTAATTTGCTTCATAATTTTACATGTTATTTCCCGATGTCCAAAATAAACAAAATCAGAATTATTTTCACTAAGAAAAAAAATTTTCGGACGCAAAAAGTCGTACATCACGTAGAGGTGGAAAGTCGCATTTGCTTGCATAGCCGGAGGGGGCAACTTTGGTGAATAATAACTAAAGTTATACTTCCTAGGTGAGTATAATAATGTTTTAGTACAATCTATATGTACTTAGCAATACGAAAAAAAAAATATTGTTATTCTTTAGTATGTTTTAAGAAATGAATAAAAAATATCAATTTTGGCTCTTTGGCCGTTTTTCCCCCAGCTTCGCAGGCCTGTATCTTAGGAAATAATTTAGCCAGAAACGTGATATTTTAAGTAAATATACTACTTATAAATTTAAGTACATTCACTAAAATTCAAATTTATTTAAGTGCGGGTTGGGGAGATTTTGGCAAGCAAACACGAGACAAGCACCAAAATAAAAATATTTTAAGGGCGATTTAAAAAAAAAAAAGCCCGTTCTCGATTTTTTTCAAACTCTGACCAGTCATTCTCCTTTATTTGGGGGTTACTATAGATTAAAAGCATGTTGCATTATATTGATGGTGTAATAGATACAGCACCTCTACCGACCCCCTTCTGCGAAGCTCTGCACGGTGTGCGCCTCTGTGGTGCGATGCAGTTATTGCGACTTCTTACTTTGAGAGAAAACTTTTTTTTTTTGTTATTCGAGTATAGCAAGTAATAGTTCTTCTACATCTTTTGCACGTTATAAAAAATTGCGCATTATATAGAATAAATTACACAACAGATACAGGGTGATTTCAGATACGATCGAAAAGGGGGTGGCTGGTCGACCTTTTTAATTTGCTTCTTAATTGTATATGTTATTTAACGATGTCCGAAAAAAAAATCAAGAATATTTTCACCCAGAAAAAAAAATCGTCGGACGCAAAATGTCGTACATTACGTAGAAGAGGAAAGGCGCATTTACTTGCGTAGCCGGAGGGGTAAACTTTGGTGATTAATAACGGAAATTATACTTCTTAGCTGAGTTTCACAATTTTTAGGCACAATCTATGTGTACTTAGCAGTACGAAAGAAACAGTTATTGTTTATTATGTTTAAAAAAAATTATAAAAAACATCAATTTCGGCTGTTTGACCGTTTTCCCCCAACTTTACCGGCCTGTATCTTAGAAAGTACTGTAGTCAGAAGAGTCATATTTTAATTCCATACGTTACGTATAAATGGAAGTAGATTAACTGAAATTCAAATCTGTATATGCGTGGGTTGGGGAGATTTCGGCAAGCAAACACGAGACAAGCACCAAAATAAAAATATTTTAAGTGCGACTTAAAAAAAACAAAAAACAAAAAAACGTTCTTTATTTTTTTTAAACTCTACCCAGTCATTCAACTCTATCTAGCGGTTAATATGCATTAAAAACATGTTGCATTATACTGATGGTGCAATGGATACCCCCTTATCGGATATATATATACATATATATATATATATATGAAAGCGTGGCATCGGGGTCGTCGGAGCAAAAGTGCTCCACATGCACCGAGTGGGCGGCCAACATTCGCCGCGCCTTTGCGACCACAGCCTCTCCCCGGGAACACTGTCAATTGCTGACCATCCTGCCATCAACCTTGACAAGAAATGAAGTCCAGAAAATCATCCCAGAGGCACCGCTATACATCCTTAATAGGTCCCGGAAGCTGAGGGAGGACCACGGCGTGTGGTATGTGCCCGATCCCTATACAAGGTGCAAGGTAGCCCTGAAAACATATCTGCAGCGGTTGAGTACTACATGAAAGACGAGTCTGAGTGTTCTAGGCAGAGTCCCAATCAGAAGGACGTCATTTCCGTTGTGCTCGATGGCCAGAAAACGCTCAAGCCGAAACGTTTTATGACACGGTCAATCAGAGAAGCGTTTCGTGTATATAGAAGTGACCATCCCGACTCCGGCATCGGATTGACGAAGTTTTACTCTCTGCGACCCCGATCGGTTAAATGCAATCCCCAGCAAGAAGCGTGCGTTTGTGTGTACTGCGCAAACTATAACCTCTGTGTCGCCTCTCTACAAAACGCTGCTGGCTCACAACTTGATGCAGCGGAATTGAACTCGGCATTCATTTGCAACCCGCCATCGCGCCAGTGCCTTCTAGGCGAATGTGACCATTGTCCCAACGGCCAGTCTCTTACACTCGAAAAACTCAACATTTCCGAGGATGAAGAGATAGTTTCGGCAGCACTGGAGTCAGGCGAGCTCGTGAAAAAGACTTTAGATCCGGTCACTTTTCTGGAAGAGCTTCGTGTGTCGGTCTCAAGGTGGATCATTCACAACCATATCAGACAGACGCAAATCAAAGCCATCTATGAAGAAAAGCAGTGCGCGCAGCGTGGTAGCATTGTCTTCCACTTCAGCTTTGCTGAAAACTGAACTGTTATCCTTCTTGACAAGATTCAAGCGTACCACTGAAAAAAAAAAAACAGGTCTCAATATTTACGTGTCTGGTGACGACTAGAAAGTCGACATATACTTTTGTCGTCATCAGTGACGACTTGCATCATGACTCCGCTCATGCCTGTCTGGCTGTACAAAAAGTGAGAGAGTGGCTCGATGACAACCTTGCTGTGTACTCTCATTTGACTTATGTAAGTCGCGGTGTCGCCAGTCACTTCAAGAATCGCTTCCAACTTCATGAATTCCAAAAAAAAAAAAATTGTTTCCCAAGGTTCAATGGCCACTGGGCACGGAAAAAACGCGTGTTACGGAGTTGGAGGACTCGTCCAACACCAAGCAACGCTTCACAACGTGAGACAGCTCCCAGGAAAGGCCATACAGTCTGCAAAATGCATGGTGAACAGCCTTTCCCAAAAACTAAAAGGAGTGAGTGAATTTCACAATTCTTGACAAAGACGAGGTTGTTGAATCCCGTGAACGCAAAAATGAAGGGTGGGTGGGAGTGCGCGCCTTTCCTGGTATTTAGTCGTGGCATGTGTGGCTATGAAAAACATCAGAAGCTTCGACCTGTGACTTGGACGTGGCACGGACTGTCCGGTCCCCTTGGAAGTAAGTGCACACCGTCAGAAAATGTTTGTGTCAAAATCTGTCAATCTTGAAACCTATGAAGGCGGAACTGTGTTGTATATAATGTGTAATTTATTATATTTAATGCTCAATTTATTATAACGTGCCAAAGATGTGACAAAATATTACTTGCTATACTCGAATGAATAAAAAAATACTTTTCACTCAAAGTAAGAGGTCGCAAAAACTGCGTCGCACCACAGGGGTACACCGTGCCGAGCTTCGTGGAAGGGGCTCGGTAGAGGTGCTGTATCGATTACACCATCAATATAATGCAACATGTTTTTAATTGACATTAATCCCGAAATAGAGTAGAAGGACTGGTTAGAGTTTAAAAAAAGTCGAGAACGGGATTTTTTTTTAATCGCCCTTAAACTATTTTTATTTTGGCGCTTGTCTTGTGTTTGCTTGCCAAAATCTCCTCAACCCGCGCTTAAATAAATTTGAATTTTAGTGAATGTACTTAAATTTATAAGTAGTGTATTTACTTAAAATATCACGTTTCTGACTAAATTATTTCCTAAGATACAGACCTGCAAAGTTGGGGGAAAAACGGTCAAGGAGCCGAAATTGATGTTTTTTATTTATTTGTTAAAACATACTAAACAATAAAAAAAATTTTTTCGCATTGCTAAGTACATATAGATTGTGCTAAAATATTATGAAACTTACCTAAGAAGTATAACTTTAGTTATTAATCACCAAAGTCGCCCCCTCCGGCTATGCAAGCAAATGCGACATTCCACCTCTACGTGATGTACGATTTTTTGCGTCCGACAATTTTTTTTCTTGGTGAAAATAATTCTGATTTTGTTTATTTTGGACATCGGGAAATAACATGTAAAATTATGAAGCAAATTAAAAAGGTCGACCAGCCACCCCCTGTTCGATCTTATCTGAAATCACCCCTTTGTCCTTTCCTTCCTTTATTTTTTTTTATTAAAACGTCAGTTGAAAGCTGGGAGCACGTGGAGCGAAAGCTCGCGCTGCAAGACCCATGGGGATCCTGGGTTCAATCCCCACCCCTGCCCGTTTCTATCTGGATGAGCATCGTACCGGCGTGCGGTCGTGTATCACTACTGCGTGATGCACGTGAAATACCCCAGGCTAGCGGCTGTACCGCATTGGCTAAATTTCTCATCTACAGCGAGTGACTCGTCCCAACCTTGAAATGACTGACCAACTACACGCTGTATAAATAACCACACAACCAGAATTATCATTACCGACGAATATTTCTTTTTCTGTCCTCCCTTGTTTTTTGTGCTAATCTTTTTTATGACGTTGAACAAACTGGGACCCCAACTTATTTTGTAGTTAGGATCAACCTTAATTACCGGCTCATGATGGACACCAATCATATCTGGGAACATTGCCTTGCAGTATCTGGAGACGGATGTGACGCTGGCTGGGAGTAAATTCGGGAACATCTTCATTATGTCATATTGAAATGTATTATTGAAGCAGCTTTTTGGTTGGTTGCTGAAATATAAGAAGACAGAGGGTGAAGATACGTGAAGCCTACCCGGGGGATCTTTTTACGTGCTAAGAAATCCGGTGAGTCTCCTTCTCCACGAACCACCTGAAGGAGGCCGTCGCCGTTATCTACAAAGGGTGAATGGCGGGACTAAAATGACATTTACCCCCCCCCCCCCCCCCCCCCACCCTTTTCCTCCAAAATTTTTTTTGACAGTATAAGCGGCCATTATTAGCGTGATAGCGACGACCGCTAACGTTTTTAAGTTTAAACGTGTTTTCAGCCTCATCATTTGCCAAGCTCCTTCCTTTGCGATGCCCCAAGTGCTTTCTGGGAGCAAGAATATTGCAGTGGGTTCTTTGAGTGTAGAATTTATTTATTTATTAACATTTTCTTTCTTGCATCGATCTGATATCAATAGCTTGAACAAAAAAGTTGATGTCAGCATTTCTTTTTGTGGTAGTTTCGTTAACTAGTGCACGCGGGTATTTTTTTTTTTTTTTGTTACTTTTTAAGCTATTATTCCGCTAGATAGCCTCCTTCATCAGGCTTTACGTTATGAGCTCAGAGGGCTATCCTTGTGCTTTATAATTTTAATGTTTTTTTAGGCGTTTTTTTTTTTGCAAAAGGAGGTACGCGATGTAAAACAGTATTTTGGCTTAAAAAATGTTAAAAAAATATTTACGGATCTGTTTTTCAGTCGAAATTACGGTCAATGCTTTTGGAATATTGAAACTAAGTAACCTGCTAGTAATAAACCAGTAAATGAGATAAGAAAACATAATAAATGCGAACGCTTCTCGTGGATTCCCATTTGTCGCTTCATCACAACCCGTAAACATATGTCTTATTCTTTTGAACTTATTGTATTAAAATTGATGGACTAAAAACAACCCGATATTTCTGCCCTCTTATTAGTAAAATTCTCACGTTAAGAGAGTCGGACTCCTGTCTCATTATCTTAGACGGCAGTGAGACATTAGAACTGCTGTCCTATTCTCAGTAAGGCCTTTGTCGTTATATAGGAATATTGTCTCAATAAGACCCACTATTGTCTTCAATACGCAAAAACGAAAGACTGATTGAAAAAAAAGAAGGTAAGAACGTGCATTTCCCGATTCCTTCTGGTTTGGACGTATTATCGGCTACTGACACCTTAGGTTAACACAGAGCGTGTCGAGCTCCGAGAATCTCATTATAGTTACGCAGCCAATCAGATCGCGGCCTCAGCCCAGAAGAACACCCGTGAACGATTCACGCCTAAGCAGGAATCGTGAACACAGCAAACCATGCCCCGTGTTTCTTAAGCTGTAAGTTACCCTAGCGCGGATATTTCTTAAATATAATTATTCGCCTCCGCTCCGTAACAGAGAGTCTTTGCTGTATAGGGAGTATTCACTGGCGGCCATAGCGGTGAGCGCGAATGCTGAGCGCTTGCTGATGGCGAGCTTCCACAGTCCTTTTGCAACGTGCATTCCGCACCATCAAGAATGCCGGTCTTTGCAGCCTATTGATGTGGGCTCGTTCTGAGCATGCGCTATGAACAGTACCCACAAATATGGCGTCCAGTGAATACTCCCTATATATGGGCTTGCCCGAAGCAAGCATCGATTTCACACCGCAACATGGCCATCAAAAGTGAAGAAATACCTCAAGTAATTCCGCATGTCTTGCATACAGCACCTAGAAAAATAAAATTTTCTGACTCCGCCTTCAAGATAACTCATGATGAAGCCCCTACTCGGGTCGCAGTCCGGATCCCGGGATCCCCTGTGACCAGGAATGAACTTGACCGGTCCATCGCCATCGTGAACACAACCGTACCTGAAGAACAAAACAGGACGTAAGACTAAAGAAGAGCGACCGTAAATTGTGTTGTGGTTATCGTTAGGCAGCGGAAGGTTGGTCAGCTGCGATAGGCGTGTAGCCATTGGCCGTCTTGGGTATTAATGCGTATACGTTACCAGTAGTTCGTTACCGTGCCTTCGCTACTGTTTCGGCAACTTTTAACTGTAATGTGCCATCTTTTCGAGATGTAGCGTGTTACTGCAGGTTCTATTACACTTCATGAAGTAACGACGAGAGTAAAGACGTTATTTTTCTCGATACTTTCTACAGCTTGTTCACTGTTCAGACATTGAACGAGCATTCACTAGCCGTTTTTCGCACTTTTCAAATGACGTGTTCCGCCATTTTGAGTGTCATGTCCGTATTGCGCGAACTTGCGCCAACTTTGCTTGCACTTTCTCTATTAAAAAGGGGTGGAGGGGGGCAATTTACTCTATCGTGCTTTCCTTGTAGTAACTGCGTTACTTAAAAGTAATGCCTTTACTTTTTAAAACTGAACGTAACTGTAACGAATTACGTTTCGTTGCAGTAACCGGAACAGCAACTTTTATACTTTTATATAATAATAACCGTAACTGCAACGATTTATTTTTATAAGTAACTTATTCGAGACTGTAGCAAGGGGGTCAGTTAAGCGAGTTGGTACTGGATAAACCCTAGTTAAAGTTGCACAAAAAAATACAGGGCAGAGGAGAGAAATACGCAGGTGGCAGACAAGGAAACAAAACCAACTCGCATGTATTGGAAGGAAGAAGGAATTTGCGTGCCTCCCTCAAGCTCGTGTGCCCTTATGCCTGAGCGGCCATCACTCTAGCTGATTTTGCCGTTACTACCTGTGCCCTTTCTTTTACAGCGAAGCTGTTTATGGCTAGAGTTGTGTGGATTTTTTCGGTTGCTTAACCAAAAACTCTACAATCGCACCGCCACACGCACCGCACGCGCATTCCTTTCCCGTATAAAAGATTCAAAGTAAATAACCAGAATAAAGCGATGACGAACGCGTGTGCAAGATGCCCTTTGTTTTAAGCCTGGTTCAGACAGCTGCGTTTGAGTGCGTTTGATTACGTTGCGGCTGCGAGAAACCAGCACATCCCTGCTGCTTATATCGCGTGCCAAGGTGATTTCTTGAATTGAATTCCACGCTTCATACGAAGCACAGATTGAGTCACCGGCACGCGCCGCACGTGCCGGTGACTCGCTTTCGGTTGTCGACGCAACGCAGTCAAACACACTCAAACGTAAGTGTCTGAATCGGCTTTTAGGCTTTTGCTTTAGGACGGTTACTGCTGCAGACGCTTGCACGTGCGGCGCTTGGAACACCATTCCCTGCTTTCTCCTTGACGCTTGGGTATTTTAACAATAGGTATACTCATAGCCTTCCATATACTGACAAAGACGGCAGATCGTCACGAGAAGCGGCCGTCGAAATGGAAAAGGTGGAGCGGCAGACGACGGATGAGAGGAGAGCCACATAACTGGCGCCCTGCTGCGGCGAGACGCCGAAACACCCTTCCCTCGAGCGACCAGGTGTGTTTCGGGTCCTCGCCGCTGCAAAAGTTGTGCGCTGACGTCCAGGTTTCCCGAGAAGTGACTCTTTTATGCGCTGTGCTACCAGAACCTCAAGCTTCAAATTTGCGACGGGCACTCTGTGGCTCCGTCGTCGAACTGCCAGGCTTTGTGAGTATAGAGGAAGCTGCGGTCTATTTTACTTCTCTTTCTTAGTCGTAATGGGGAGACTGCGTATAATCCGGACTCCCGAACAGCAACGCGCTACGAAGAGCAACGGCGGGAACGGCACCGAAAATTTCAGCGGCGGCGTCGGGTGGCAAACACCCCCGCTGAAGATCGTGAACAAAACGCCAAGGGCACGCGGCAAAACAGACAGGACGACAAACGTCGCGAGGTGGAGAACGCATGATAAAGACGCCGGTACCATGCTGCTAAATTGGACAACTTTGATAGAGCATATACTAAACTCTGTCGCGTCTGTCTCGTGTGCTAAACAGCTTCGCTGGTGATCCACTTTCACAGAGTAGAATGGCTCATGACTTTTTGCCTTCCAATACACGTGAATTATGAGAGTGCGCTTGTCTGTCGTGTACGCGTTTCTGTCATCTATTCCTGTGTTTTGCGCACATCTTTAATCACGCTTACCCAATATTGTTAATTAGAACCAAGTCAAGCGAGCAAGAGAAGAAAATACTTACGAATGGCCAAACTCGTGAGTGACATAGTGAACACCAAGGTACGCCTGCCCTCGGTCTTCGGCAATTGCATAGTTTGCATACGTCGTGCAGGCTCCACCTAATAGTGCCATACCTGAAAATATACGTTAAAGAGTACCAAAAAAAAGCTGCTACACAACCTAGGTTCGGAAGGTCTTGCCAAGTTGTTGGTCACGGGCTCTAGTACAGAGCGCGTAAAATAATTTCCTTATAAAATAAAGGAGTAGCCGATGAACTGTCCAAATTATATAAAATATCTTCACCATGTTGACAGACCCGGAGAGCATGCTCGAAATGTGTTGAGTGCGGAATACCACATTGCAGAAATTGACATTACGTAACATGATGTAACAAGACGGGGTCACGTCACACCGAATTGCCCTCTAAATGTAGCTGGCAAATTGACCTGATCGTTCTTTGTGACGGGCTTATCATAAAACACGGCTGGTAAGACACATTCTTTAATGTAATCACTGAAACGAAAGGTCCCGCGAGCAGCTGCCTTGATAAAAGCGCGCTGCGGTAGGTGTGTATGCATTCATCCAACCATTCAGCCAACCGCCCAGGGACACACAGTGCCCATATGTTTTTTTGTTTAAAAAAGCTCGTTTCTTTTTTTACGGTATTTACCACAAAGCGCGAACCATTTTTCGCGAAATGTATTTTTTTTTTATATTTAAATTTCAATAAACGACTCCAACGAAACCCTAAAAGACTCCTAATGAATTCGTGTGTATTTATGCCACGTGGTGACGTTTCCAAATTAAACAACGGAAAACTTTCCACAAAGCAGAAAATGAATAATTTAGAAGCTATTCTTGCCGAATGATATTTCCATAAGATCTAAGTCATCGGATAGATGAGCAAGTATTATTTTCTTTCTAAGAGCCGTTACTCTTTTATGTTGCAAGGTTTACTTGCCCTTACAAGTCCAAGAGAACGCTTGCATCTCATATGCCATTATCGCGATTCGTCTTTGGGAGTTGTTTCCAAAGAAACCAATGTCGAATTGCATGATCATTACGTAGAGGCGAGTGCCAAGCTTAATTGAACAAATAAATTTTAAAATGATTTACTATAGTCTGGCTCGTCTACAAACAAAAGTTGGTTAGCAAATGGCCGTCCGGTCTAGAAGCTACTTCAACCAAATACTTCACTAGGAAACACATCTTAAACCGCGAAAATTCGATGGCCTTGGCGCGGACAGCTTTTGCGTAGTAGGAACGGATAAGCGGCACAGCAACGGGGTCTTTCCTTTTGAGTTGAGAGGGGCGGCTCTCTTCATCTTGCGTCGTGGACACTTTAACAGGGGAGACAGCCGTCTGTGCTGTCTTGGCGAATCTGGTATCTCGGTGCGTCGGTATTTCGGTGCAGCGCGAAAGTGCGACAGGGTGGACAGCGCGATGCGCGTCGTTCTCTCGGAAGCGAACTGTCCCCACCGGTAGGGGGACATTTGATGCTGTAGTCGTGCTGTGTATTGAAAACGAGCGGAGTGGAACGTATTCTACTAGTACAGTATTTGCTTCAGCTGGGATTTCAGTTTTTCCTGGAACCCGACTTGCCAATATAGCTTTCACAGAATTTCAATTCGTACAAACTTGTCTTCTGTTTTTTTTTTTTTGTATTTTCTTTACTGGAGGATGGTGCTTTTTATACCTGGAAGACTGAGCTTGCTGAGTACACGTGGTATTGCCGCGTACATACCCGAGTTGGCAAGGCGCACAGATCTCACGCCGAATATCTAAGTTCGAATCCCTCTTCTTCTTCTTCTTGTTGTGAGGTCCAGAGAAGAAAAGGAAAAGCGAATCCCTCAGTTTATTTTAGTTTTACTTTCCATTCCTTCTTTGTGAGGTTCCAGATCATTCCTGTTATTCGTTGCGGGTTCTAGATTAGAGCATACTGGAATCCGAGGCGATTATAAAAGGAGCTGTAGCGCGCCCCTTCCAGCTAGTCTTTCGCCAGCGCTCAATCCTGCCACGACGCCATCGACGCCCGCGACGCCCATTTATCGTACCTTTTATTTTGGCACAAGTTCGCCCCCATTGAAACTTTAGCCAATTCAGTATTTTCCTGCTTCATTGTGTGTTATTTGTGACATTCTTGTGCAGGTGCGCGGTAGCTCCCTATGCCCAAGTTTACTCATTCGCCCCCGCGGACCCCTTAACCAAGTCCGATTCTAAGCCGGACGGGAAGACCGCTTTTCGAGGAACCTGAAACTCGGCCAGTCGCCGTACCCAGGGACAGGCTTCTGAATTTTGGTCTGCTGCTGGACAAGCCCCAGCTGAAGAAGACGACGATGGCCAACCAGTCGCAAACCTCGGTCACTTCTGCCGTCGTTTACCTGCCCGTCGCACTGCGGATGGCTGATCCGTTCCACAGTAAACTGTACGAAGACGTCGAAGATTAAACCGACCAATACGAACAAGTCGCACGCCATATCGCTCGACCGACGAGCAGCGTCTGCAAAAGGTGTATTTCTTTTCTCGCTGGAGGGACTACCAGGCACTGGCACGAAAATCACGGGTCTTCTTTTAGATCGTGGGACGTTTTGGAGAGCTGAAGGGGATGGTTGTCAACCAACACGAACCCAGGGCCCTGACAAAAGCGTCACCGGCTTCGTGGAGGATGTTCTGTGCCAGAGCACCCGCGCCGAGCCTCAAGCTAAAGAAGAGGAGCTGTGAATCTTCATGCGGAGCGTGAGGGACAACATCTTCGGCGGTTTTGTCCGCAGCCCTCCCACAACATTCGATGGTTTCGTCACCGAAGCAACGAACATCGAACTTGCCCTACCAGCGACTACCCGGCGTCGCTGCCCTCGGACCGTCTAGCTGATATCTTGGCTCCAGCATCCCAGGCCTCCGCGAGATCTTTCGCGACGTCGTCCGGGAAGAGCTCAGAAGCTCCTGCCTGCTGCCAAGCAGCCGGTTTCGCTGCCGATAGCCAAAGTTGTTCGAAAGGAAGTTCAGTGGGCATTCCAACTGGAGGCTGCTGCCAGCGTAGCAGCACCCGAGGAGCCCGCCCTGACTTACACCGCAGGAGCCCTGAGGCCGGCGCCAGCTGCCGGGCAGTGTTCGACGCCGCCTCAACGTAACCTACCAGTGCCGCAGACTTTCCGTCGTCGGGAAGGGCAATCCCAGCTCGTCCGCACCGAGCAACAGGCGCCTAAAAGACGAATGTGCGGCGCACGGCCAATCGACGACTGCTTTGTTATCACTGCGGCGAGGCCGACCGCGTCTACCGGAGGTGCCAATACTGACAAATGGGCCTGCGAGGTTTTGCACAGAGCGACCCGCGTCCCCGCATTGGGGAGCGACCAAGGGACATCGCGAAGTACCTCCGACGACCTCTGTCCTTGGTGCCGACTCTACCACGAGGTTCCCGTTTGCCTTCGCTTCGACGTGCGCTTTCGCCCTTCCGCCGCTCTCGCCGTGACAGCCTGTCGGCCATGTCTCGTCGGAAGAACTAAGTGCGGCAACGCCTGGAGGTAGCGTTTCCAAAGACAGGCGAGTGAAGGGCATCCAAGAGCGCTGGAGAGCTCCCATTCTAACGACGGCGCATCTGCAGAGGTGTCTAACAACCTCAACGTTGTCATCGACAGCTACGACGCTACAACGCGAATCGATACCGGCGCAGACTATTCCGTTTTGAGTGGGAAAGGGAAGCTCTCTCTCTGGCCCTTGGGAAGTGATGACGTGGTGGGAAGACCCGGTCCCTCAAATAAGAAACGCTGGGAGTCAGCCTATAACGCCGACCGGGAGGTGCGCCGTACACGTCGAGATACACGGCGAAACCTGCCCAGTGATATTCATCGTGCTGCCGGACTGCTCGAGAAACATTACCCTTGTAATGGACTCAGCGCGGTCGTCGACCCCGGTAAGAACAAGATGACGGTCGGAAAGCTCGGCCCGTCACGAGACGTACAAAAATCAATGCCAGCCGCAGTTCGTGCGCTTGCTGACCATGCGACCCTGCTGCATCGGTCAAGTGTTTGACTCGCCGGGACCAACGAGGTCACTTGCGGAGAAGGGCTAATAAAAGCCACAATCCCTCTGCTCCTAGCAAAAAGAATTGTCGTTGCTAAGAGCGGTACGAAGGTCCCAAACGGCCGTACCGTGGCTCTCCTTGCGAACTTCCGGAACGAGCCACAGCATTTGACCAAGAATATGGCCGTAGCCTACGCTGAAGACTTCAGCGAGCCAACCGAGGCAGTTTTACTGGCAGAAGCGTTTTGTATACCTGGACCAGAAAAGACTGCACCAGCGGAGCTTGACGTCGGTCCAAACTTGTCATCACGGCGAGGACAGGAACTCCTACAGCTACTGGATTATACTCCATCTCACACAACGATGGACTAGGGCTCGAAGGCTTTTTGGCGGAGCACTACGTCAGAAAAACGTGCATCCGCATTGCAAAGAAGTGCGCGAGAGAAATTGTGATACACAGAGCACGAAGAGCACCAATCTTACACATATGGTTCTCTGTTGTAATATCACGCTATTTTATATTGGTGAAGTAAAGGTACATGGTATTTAGTTTCCTAAATATTAATGCCATATTTCGTAAACATGTCAACTGTTTGAAGAAGTAGGAGGGCGTGCAGGCAACTTTGACATAAAGTCGTTTCTTCATAGCCATAACAAGCCAATCAAATCTATTCGTTCTGTGCGTACTCGGACCTGTATCTTTCTTCCGCACGTGGTTCGTCGTACATAGGCTTCCGAGTCGAGCACTCAATCCGACTCGGCTTCATTCCTGAATGGCCACTGGATTAGCTCCGGGTTCACTTCCCTACATCACTTCCGGGGGTATTTAAACCCTCCAGTAGTCTTCAGTAGAAGAAAGCAGACAGAGCCACCGCGAAGGCTCGATAAGCAGCCGAAAAACTCGTCTCCACATGACGCGTCATGGCGCATTGATACGTACGACAGGGCAAGTATTCCGCATGGTTTCTAACAGGCTCGTGATTGAACCCGGCGGCCTGTAGCATTGGGCTTTAGTCCATCATAAGACAAAACAGAGTATAGTTTTACGACTGCTTCGCCATACCATCCGTAGTTCGCACAACGTCAATCGCCAAACACCGGTTTATCACCGACGATGACGCGCACCCAGTTCGCCAACGACCGTACTGGGGTTTTAGCTCGCGGATTCCACGCCGAATACCCGGGTTCAAATCTCGAAGATTATTTTAGTTTTCCTTTCTGTTCCTGCTCTGATTCGCAACCTGGAGTTTATTTAGGTCTTCCTTTGCCTTCCTGTTTTGGAACCTTCCAGAGCAGCTGAACGGAAAGGAAAACTAACATAAACTGCTGGATTCGAACCGGGGTACCTGGCGTGGGGGCCGCGTGCTCTGCCCATTCGGCTATGCAGGTGGCAGTATATTCTAGAACTGGGGTCACAAAAGTCCGGCCTGCGGGTCAGATTCGCCTACCGGAGGCTTTGCCACCCGTCTGTGGCCCGTACCCAGCAGGTCCGCCCCTACTGGTGCAAAAATAAGCCCGTATTAAGGTGGCGTCACGGCGCTCACCGAAGACTTCGTATCCGTGCTGATTCTTTTCTTATTAGAGGTTGGGCTAGTTGGACGGTATGTGTCACCGACACTTCTATTGTGCTTCATGGTAATGAATTTCAGTTTTTGAATGATCGCTCCTCTAAATTGATCAACTTTTATGTGGTGCTGCGTTGCCTGTCGTGTGTATATATGCTTGCCTTTTTGAGTAAAACTAGTTGAAAGTTAGCGCTTGTCCTTGTCTTTTGTTTTGCGCTATTGTATATGCTTAGCTGCGATTCTTTTCTCGCTGGTTGTTGTGTGTCATACTTATTGCACATTGTCACCACCGGCATCTTCATTCTTAATGCCCTGTTTTTTGTCTGCGTAACTGCGGTCAATATATTCTGCGTTCTCGCGCATATTGTGCTTAGTGCCCTGTGTCATACGCATCGCGTATTGCCCTTCCCCAGTTCTACCACTCTTATTAGACTTCTGCCTTGTGCGAATATTTTAAGGTTCATATTCGCTTTGATTTATGCCTAGTAAATTTTTCCGAGCTACAATTATTGTATGATGCCATATTTAAGTAAATATTGAAATATACTTTATATATACAGGATATTCATCTGAATTACTCGCAAGTCTTGTCGTTTTTCATGTAGGGTTTCTATAAATACACGTTAGATTTTGTTTTGAATTTTACTCCACTTTGGATTTATGAATTTAAATGGTTACATTGGTATATTTATTTAGATATCTTTTTACTAATTTATATTTATTTGTTTATTTTCTGGCCTTCGAGGCCGCGACAGACACCTAATACGATCCCTTAGTCATAATGTTTGGAGTCGGAGACCCCTGTTCTAGAAGAAGCAGCCGATGGAATCGTTTTCGAAGTGCTGCTTGTCCGAATGCAGTGTTTGTTTGGTGTTGGCATTGAACACCGTGGCTTTTTCGGTCTATGGCCTGAGTGTCGAGAGCCCGTTTTCACAGCTTTACACAAAAGACAAAAAGGAGCGCAACAAGTTGATTGACGAAAATTCGATAACCTACTCCTAATGGACCGACCTCACTAAGCGTTCGGCGCATGCGTGACGCCGTCATAGCTTCAGTTCGCAGGAGTCAGACGTCCGTACATACGAGGGCTCGTGCCGCCTCGTGCTTCACAAGCGCAGAATTCAAGCAAGGTTCCCACGATGCATTGCGGCAGCGGTGGCGTAGTCAAACTGGCTGGTGAGATCGATCGACTGTATATATTTTATAACACGTTGGACTGAAAGAATTGATTGTTATATGTCTTTTCTAAATGACTTGAACGTGAGTGATAGTAAATAAAAAGTACGTCTTAACTGCACTGACAGAAGGCATTATATATATATATATATATATATATATATATATATATATATATATATATATATATATATATATATATATATATATAATTTTTAAGATCAACCGCTCACTTTCAATATAGATGCCAGAAAAAACTCTTATGTTTCTTTACCAGAATATGCGCTCTTAAAGTAGACCCGCATATTGTGGCAATTGCATGCCGAAAACCACCCTTGGATTCGGCAAATATAAAGACAGAAACCGTAGAACCCTGTTTTTGAAACGCGAGTCGGTGCCCGGGTGGCAATGCTGCGTTCATCGCGAATTGCCAAAAAAAATAAATAATAAAAAACAAAAAAACATAGAATTACGCAAAGTAAGAATGACTGAAGCTTACCTGCATTAGCCTGAGACACATATCCGTTTTCCAGTGTTGCTAAATCTCTCCTGTAGGAAAGAGTAAAGATCAAATCTGTCGAATGAAGACTATAAAACGGCACTGCGCCTTTTTAGTTTAGGACTGGAGGTTGAAGTTCCCAAATAAAGACTTTTGGGTATTAAGATGCGTTTCTAATTTAAGAAAAGGTTACTTTTATCAGTGTTGTACAGGTTCCCCCAAAACAGTAACGCGTTCTCGTTACTTTTCTAACATTTGAAATTGTCGTTACTTTAACGTTACGTTGTCATATTTTAAAATGACGTTCTAATGAATAGTCCGTGTATAAAATAAAGCAAGCAAGTGAAAACATTAACATCGAACAATGCGTCGTATCGCCACGATCACATTTGTATTAGTTTTTGTTTTCGACCATCTCTCGGACACTTCATGTCCGAGAGATGGCCGTGTCCCACTAGAGCGACAGACGGAAACAAACGACAGCGACAAGCCTCAAAGGAGAGTTTTTCGCGATTTGACAGGCTTTGTATAATAAAGGAGGCTATGCTCAAACACGAGCATCATGCACGCGAGGGTAGCTTTGGCAGGCTCGCAATCGCTCATGCTTATTTCACGAGCACCGAACGACTAAACGCCTGCAAAAGGTGCCATCGCGAGCATGCTGCATGGGTTTGAGGCTTGTCGCTGCCTTTTGTTTCTGTTTGTCGCTCTAGTGGGACACGGGCATAAAAGATACTGCAAGAGAGAAAAAAAAAATTCTTTTTTTTTTGAACAGCCCAATTGGGGCAAGCATGTCACAAAACAAGCCTTCAGCGAAATTTTTTTATTATGCAATATTTACGCTTAGGACGTAATTTAGTCGGAGTCACATCCTTTCCACATTTGAAACTCCCATTCTTTCTACTCGCGCGGATGAGAAGTACGCCCCGACCAACGAGATAGAGGGGCTTAGAGTGATAAACCAGAAGTTCGCAAGTGACACCCCCCCCCCCTTCCCCCCCCCCCCCCCCCCCCCGTTGCCGCCATGTTGTACGCAAGTGACCACTTGTCACGTGACCTCACAAAAGCCGTGACGTTACAGGTAAAATGGCAGCGCCCAAAGATGGCGGATGCGAGTTAGTTCGGTGCGCGGTAGCGGTGATGTGCAACTGCTTTCCGACGACTTCAGGATTTTTCATGCTCGCTGACGCAGGTATAATGTGAAAATATGAAGGAATGAGACTTTGTACCGTTTATGCGCAAGATCGCTCTGGATTATCTGGATATTAACACCTGTGAGACAGCATCAGCCGTATCGCCGTACCGGTGCTCGGATCTATTCGAGGATCGATAGAACTTTGAGTGCTTTTAGCATAAACTTTTCGCATTCTCATAGCTTTGTTTGAACGTTGGAATGTCTGAGAATTGAAGCGAAAGGTATTCGCGACTCCAGCAAAACGGACGCCGCCAAGCGGGAAAACCGGGAACCAGCCGGTCCAGGTCGCTCGGCGCCCCTCCGCGTGTCTGGTGGCTTTCGCGGAGACGTGTTGTCGGCGCGGTGGCGAACAATGTAATTTGACGAAGGTCCGAATATTTCTTAAGTTTGCCTGAGTGATCATTAGTGTGGTGAAGCCTCAGTAAATTGTTTTCTTCTATTACGTGTTTGAAAGCCCGTTTACTCCACAGCACACGGTCGCGTGCTTTCGATTTCTTGGATGGGGAGGAATCACGCAAAAACTTTTTTGATTTCTTGTCTGTCTCGAATCACATTCAAAGTGACGACTGCTTGGCAACTGATACTGGAGGGAACATCAATGTTGCAGTCAAGTGAATGGGAAGGTTCGATAGCTGCTTTTCTTTTGAGTTTGGTTGTGTTCGGTTAGCTTCAAGTTTGAGCCACCCACGCCGGTCGGTGCGTTGGCGATTCATCTTGGCTGCTTTTCGCCGAAAAAGCCTCTGGACCACACTGAAGGAGTTGGGCTGATTTCGCAATTACTTGATTCAGGAAAACTTGCTCGCTGCAAATGATGAATGAGGGAAATTATCTGTTTTCAAAAGGTGGGAGACAAGTCTCGCAACGTTAGATGCTGCCACGGCATTTTGACCTATCGTGCTTCCAATATTTATGTTACCAGGACGTCGAAGCCAGCAGTAATATACGTCTACATTGATCAGGTTGACCGGCCACAAAAAAAATACTAATTTTCTTCGTTCAGGATTCGGAGCAAAGTTCAATGCAGAGAGGTTCTGCGTGGATCTTCAATGAAGACTCTCTTCAGTTTGTCTCCGTGCTGCCGGCTATAGAACCATTTGGCGAAATTTAAGTAGTATGTCTTCGTCTGTCAAATATACTTTTATTCAGCAGCTCACCTCATAGCTAGTCAACTAAGCTCATATTTCAACCCGAAGGATATACTAATATCGCTGTAGTGGGACCATAGTACGTAATATAATACATAACCCGCTCGTCAAAATGACTTCTCGGTTGCTACTAAAACCTTAATTGAAATACGAGTATCAGCTGCTTAGTGGGGCGCCGGCGGGTTAACACGGTCCTTGACTCAAAAAGCGGTTGCTTAATTTTCGTAATTTTCCTGCAGCCTGTGTTGATGGCCGAGCAGACGACTGGAGCTGTTTCGTAAACGCGGATACGCACAAAAGCTCGATTTCGCGGACAGATAAGTCGCATGGTCGAGGCATGCGAGTTAGCTGAAAAGTTACTATCTGTGGAACAATTCTATAGTCATCGCCGCTTTCCTTAGATGATCAAAATTGATTAGTATATTACCGTCTCTCCGGAGCCCATAGTTTCGGTTTTGAACGAAATCTCCGAAACGAAAGTTTGACACGAAAAGAACAAAAAAAAACACCGGGAAAACAAAACTATGCTTTGCAAGTTTATCTGCACCGGATACACTTCACCGTCTCAGTTCAAATACCTATAAAATTGGGCATTAAACAAAAGAAAATCTGTTAAATTGAACGCGCCACCCATTCAGGCGGCCTGGCCGAACCGCCGCGACCTGGACTCATCCGCCATGTTTGTTTGGTGGTGGCGCCCCCTATAGGTCGCTGGAGTCGCGAATACGTCGCGTTAGGACCTAGGGGAAGTTGTTTCAGCCATGCGTCACCAAATAACATAGCAACTTTTAGCGAGAAGGCTCCTGCGATCTTTAACCTTTTGTGCTAATCGATGATTCTACATTCGATCGTAATACTTTTTTGAAGTAAAAAGCTTTCGTTTGCTTAATTGACGTGCACGCGAACTCTTACGAAACATTTGAACCACGCATTCGGAAAAGAGTTGATTACTTGTGTTCATAAAACAGTTTATTTGTCCGCTTGAATCTCAGAACACAGCAAGTCTTCATAGTTTTGATCGATTGGTGAACAAAATATTGCGTCCGATGTCCCTTTAAAATTAGTAATAGCAGGCACTTTACCTGGCCGATCGGTATCAATATTCCACAGTAACCTTCATGCGTATGATCATACTCCCAATAGATGGTTGTCTAATCCATCATTATAAAAGCTAGAATCTTTGAAAAAATAGGGCACCACTTTTTAGAGGTCTAGAGATAGAACCACATATATCAGGAATTCGTTAAATGTGATGTAACTCGGAAATGGAAGATTAACTGCACATTTTTTACTATCCTAGGATTTATTGCAGCAATACTCTTTTTCATTAAGAGTGCATTGTATTATTTGGTCAATTATCTACTTGTTTTAATTACCTGGACAACATGATTCATATTTGTGTTCATTTCTTGCCCGAACGGCAGTATTGTTGAAAAATGCTGACAACCTTTCCTTTCAGTCTTTTCAATAGACTTTTTTCAAAAGGGCATGGGCTGCCTCTACTTCGTTTCACCGTAACTTGGAAAAGGGCAACCGCCACAGCCCCCTGAGCCAATCAGAGGGACGGAGTGAAGGTGAGTAACAAATCTGTGCAGACGAGCACCCTGATGATACGTTGTCATGTGCCTCTCTCCAACGTGCATACTGACTAACCGAGACTAGCCTTCGCCGTTTGCCAAATTGCGGTGAAACGAATTACAGTAGCTACTACTCTAATTACGCAAGGCATTCGTACTTTGGGCATTTGTTCGACAAGACTGTTATGTTAGCCATCACTGTGAACTCGGCTCAGCGCCTATTGGACTCAAATGCTGCATTAGCGTTCGACGTGAACTTGGGCCCATTCGTGTGCTTTACGCCGAAAAACAATGGCGACAGTTGTGTTGCTTGATGGGGTTTTGCAAAGGGTCTATTGCGTCATCCGTATAGGAAATGTCCTTCTATATAACAATGCATCAACACATACTATTAAACTCGATGCTCAGAGGTGTGTTTGTTTTTGCAATTAACAAGTTACAGCAATAATTATTTCGTACGAATAATTATTTCTTTTTTGCTTTCGGTAGCTGGGTCCGTTTTGTGTTCATTAATGTCAGTGTGCTTTGATGTTATTATCATGTGTGTAGTTTTAAGTATCCTTTGTGCAATGCCTACAAAGGCTCCTGGAGAGAATAAATTCATAAATAACATTTTCACATCACTGTAGTTGGTTTTCAGATGCACCACATGTTCAGGAGAGGTGGAAGAAGTGCAACTTCATGCAACAAGTCTGCCGGTCTGGTATGTCTCATTATTTAATATTGAAAGGTCAGAGATGCGAGTGTCCTCAAAGGTCCAGCGCATGCAGTGAACATAATTCTTGGTGTATAGACCCTGAAGGCGTAAAGGCAAGCGGAAATATGTTTATTTTGTTAGTGTATTAAATATGTTTATTTCCACTCGATTACATAATTATTGATCCTTAGCAAATTGTTCCATAACGAGTTTTTTCTGCGACAGTCTCGTGTCAGGCGTTCAGTCGTAATACCTGTGCTTCTTGTTGTCGGATGACGCTCCTGGCACGTCGGTGTTCAGTTTGGTCGAGTGGCACTTTTGACTGACTGATGCCGTCTTGTAATCATACGTCATGTGCGGCACTGACATCTAATGCAGTGAAGCTGCAGGGTTCTGCTTCTAATCCGCTTATTTTCCTGGTATATGTTTCTGCGTAAATGCAGCAAGCTGGGACATCTATTGCTTACGTGGCTGTGTCTCTTGCTGTACCGTTGACTTGATGGCTGGCAACAGTGTTTGTTTGCTATCCAAGCAATTTCACTTGCATTTCGTAATGCCTATTTCTTCTGCATCCCGCGACCACTGCAACTTGTGTAAGCCTCGTGCGGCAAAGTGAAGTCGGGTGATGCTTGGTGTCCAACAAAGTGTCGTGTTGTGCTAGTTGGTTTGAGGTGAACGTCTTAGGAATAAACAGCGGCAACGAAACTTGGACAAGAGTAAAGGAACAAACACGACAGGACGGCGCTGAACTAAAATAAACAACAGGTGTCAGTTCAGCGCCGTCCTGTCGTGTTTGTTCCTTTACTCTTGTCCAAATTTCTTTGCCGCTGTCTATTCCCTTGCTGTCCACTTTTGAGAACAGCCAACCATTCTATTTTTTCAAGTCGCTCAGCGGCATTGTCCCTCAAAGTTAGAAATTGTGGGCTTTGTGGAGTGGACACAGATAATTGGTGTCAGCAAATTATTACGTATTGTCCTTGGACGAGAACCGACACCAAATAAACTGCCATTGCATTGCCGATCACCTGCTTTGTCCTGCTTACCTCCTGTCGAGGTGATGGGGATCAGGAGCTTCTGGTTCATGTCGGCATCAGGGACAAAGGCCGGCGAAGATAATCCTCAATGTCCCGCGGTCGCTCCCTGAGACGTGGTCGAGGGTCGTTCGGCACAAACCCTCACAGGCCAATTCATTGGAACGGGCAGCTCCGGCAGACATGGTTGGCCTTATGCAGTGGGTAACAGATTGGATTTCGGTCGACCATTCGCAATACCTTCGTTTTTATCGGTGTACTTTTTTCAGCGCAGACCTACACCCGATGTCGGGAATGCTTCGGCGTTGGGGTGTCTTATTGAATTGTCATTGAATAGTAAGGAGAAGCCGGTGGCGATCGTCGTGTCATTGTGGCGTAAGTCGCCCTCGGTTCGTCAGATGGCGCTTCGCTCGCAGAACTCTCCGGTTGAAATGCCTGTCGAACTTGTTCCGAAACAATCTTAGCAATCAAAATAAAAGTCGGGCAACTGATGGCAGGATGTAGCTTCCTAATCTCCTCCCAGACAACGTCGTGGATGATGTCGTGGATGCCTGGGAGGCTGGCGTCGAAGCTGCAGCTGGACGACTCGAGTGTGGAGACGCCGGGAACTTGTTGATTGTGACACGCTCGGTTATGCAGTGCACGTTTAATGTTCGAAGCCTTGGTGATATCAATCTTTCGACTATTGTCGGGTGGTTGCGGACAAGACTGCCGAAGGTGTTGTCCCTCACATGATGGACATGGGATTCTTAGCTTATTTTCTTCTGTAGCATCAGGGTCGGCGTGGGCGCTCGATCAGGCGCAAAAGATCCTCCAAGAATGCGGTGACACTCTCGTTGGGGCCGTGTCCTGGACAGAATCAGGAATGCGGCTCTCTCTCTCTCTCTCGTCGATGTTGACTGAAGAACGTGCGCTTCAGCTCGATCTTGCAAACTTCCGACGACGTTAAGGAGGACTCATGGTTCTCAGACCAGTGCCTGGCAGTTTCTTTTACGCAAAGTATAGATTCTGCAAGCCTTTGTAAGGTATTTCCTGTAATCTGGGTGTCTGTCCACCCATTGTGGCGGGCTAGACTTTCTGATCATACCGCGCATATGTATATAATATTTATCTGTTTTAGTTTGTCTAAGCTAAAAAACTGTATATTTGGCAGTATTAAGATTTGGCTAATGAACTTGTATGAATTTAATGTATATGTATTTAATATGTATGATGTATTATGTGTATATGATGTATTGTATATGTATGTTGATGCTCGCTGCATACCAAGAGGGGGTTAAGGCCTCGTCAGGCACTCGTGCCTTTAGCCTTAGACCCCCTCTGCGGAACATGTATCCGCAGACACAAATAAAGAAAAAAAAAAAAGCCACAGAAGGTGGATGATATCCGTGGATCGAAAAGAAGGGTTGCCTCGCGCGAACGATCGTTTGTGCGGCAAGCACTTTCTGGAAGGCAAGTGCGACTTCCATTTTAATCTCCGTCCCGAGGCTTGCTTATACACGTTTGCAAGTCCGGTCTCAGGGCGCCGCCATCTTCCTCAGTGGGGTGCGCTCTCGGGAGCGGCCATAATCGGATTACGACGCCTTAGCAAGGCTAGCAAGGCTTCGTAATCGGATTATGACTGGTCCAAGCGCACCCCAGACAGGCAAGATGGCAGCGCCCTGAAGCCGGACTTGCAAACGTGTATATGCAGGCCTCGGTAAGGAAACCATCGTCTTATGGAGACCACCTGGATTTTGTTCCCGCGGTGTTCGCGCACAAAGCACCGGCGAAACGCTCGTCGGAGGCTCGCTACGTCTGTGCTACCAAGCAGAAGGAGATCGGCGACAGAACGGCGTAGGCGTTACCGAAAAAAAGTGATGAAATACGCTAATTGCTCGTTACTTGTAAATAAAAGGTGCGCGTTACCGAGCTACGTCACCTAAAAATAAAAGGAACGCGTTACCGCTATCGATAAAAAGTAACGCACGTTACTTCTGCGTATATTTTTTCAATTATATTTAACACGCTTTATACTGTTTTGACGATACAGGATACAGCATAATCTCGTATTTCAAGAAATATTATGTTGATGCAGAAAATGAGCATAATTACTTTATCTCTTTTTACGGCTTCACCCAGATACTCACGAGAAAAAACGCAAAGAAAAACGCAGAAAACTTAGAAATTCCCATGGCTTGACGCCTAAAAACACGGAAAAAATTGAAGTGTAGTTTTTTCAAGACTTGGGAAGTAGTAACGAGTAACATAACGACGTTACTTGAAATAATAACGTAAGTACGTTATCCACTACTGTGTCGAAAAAGTAACGGCTAGGACACTACGTTACTGAAAAAGTAACGCGTTCCTGGTAACGCCGTTATACTTCCAACGTGTTATCGCCAAGACTGCAGAACGGACAAAGCGTTACTGCTTGTCAGGCCTTGTGGTAGAAAAAAATATCATACCTTGACTTGAAGACGCTGTGCGTATTTAATCTGTTAATAAATACACTTCCGTAGACCCACAGTCTGCTGATCCCGCCGGCAGTGCGGACGCCGACTCGAAGTAATTGTAGACCTCGAGAGACTTGAACGCCTGCACCGTGTCGGCCGTGAACTGGCTTGGCGAAAAAACTAAATAAACGACGACGTGAGCCGTCGGCGTCGGTGGCAGCAACTTCACGTCGGAAGCTCAGCAGGCCTTGTTTAGGCGTACGGATCGTCTAAGGCAACGCCATCCACGCACAGTTTGTTTCGATACAGCTGCCCTTCAGGCTCGGGTAGCGAGCTCAAATAGTCGAGCATAACATACGACATACGCTGTCAGGAAATACGACGCACAAATAAAGCAAGAAGCGTCCCTACAACGTCAACAACAAGCGCACGCCACACTTCGCAATGGCGAAAACACGGAGAGCCTGGCCGCTTTTGCCCACATAGCTTCCGCGCATGCGCGGCCTTCCGGCCGTGTTGGTAAACAGAGCCGCTCCGCGTGTCGGTCTGGCTTTAAGTCGAACGTTTTACTTACCCGGTCAGCACCACAAACAGGTCGGGATAGGCATCTTCGTATTGTCTCGTGAAATTATACATTTTCTTTAACGTAACTTCTGGTTCTATGTATCCATTGTGCTTGTGAAGGAACGATTCCTCTTCCTATAGCAGGAAACAGAATATGCGTATGCAAAAGAAGTCTATAAACATACTTTGATTGCTTTGTGATACATTTCGCAGTAACCTATTTGCTTCTTAACAATACAAAACGTACGTTCCTTAACAGGCCCAAATCTGTTTTCAAGCTTTTTTTAGATTGAAAACCACGTGAGACGTGAGGTAAATGATCTTGCGAAACCCGCATACTTAAAGAGGCCCTGCAAGGACCTTTTTACTGGTTTTTAATTTGCACCGAACGTGAGCGCACTGAGCGTAGTAACTTAGTGAAACTTTTCTTTTCTCGAAATTCCCTTTATTTTAAAAGTTATAGGCAAATTAAAATTACAAAAACAAGCAAACAATAAACCCCCTCTTGACAGCCTTGGTTGTTTAAGAGTGGCCGTGAACTAGAGGAGGGGTAGTGAGCTCAGCGAGAGCTCACGGCTGCCGCACTCCGTGTCGACGGCGCGATGGGGCGCCACTAAAGCATGTTCTGGATAGGCTGTATGGAGCGGGCAGCCAGAGCGGCTCTCATTGCATTTGCTGCGCGATTAAATACTAATTCGGCATGACACTTCATTGACCACAAACGACAGCAAACACGGGGTAAAGAACAGTTCAGAATAAGAGCTAATTTGCGCTGCCGTACCTCGAAACGGCCAAACCGCAAGACAAAGCTTCTCGCCGAAGGCCTTCGGAACGCTCGGATCCGGTTGGATCCTCCTGTCCATACGACCGCAGCGCCGCCGCGTATATCCGGGACCTTTCCGTGTCGGCGCCTGATCCCACTACTCCTTTCTAGTATCCGCCGCGGGTATGTCGACGGGTCATTTCTTGTTTCCGTACTTTACGAACTGCATTCGTTTTTTTTTCTGATCTAAAATATTGAACAAAAACTACTTTTATATATAACTGAAACGGTTCGGGCGCCACTTATATTTTGTATTTCGACTAAAAAGAAGCTTTTAGCGGCTCTGACCAGTAGTAAGCCCAGGACCAAAGACGTCACATTTTGCGCGCTTTCGGTACCGCGGGTCGCCCTCGTCGGTGGAGGAGGTTTCCGCGTCGCTCGATTAAAATATGACGCACCGATATTTAGTTACTCTCTCCGTGCCCGCTGGCTTGATCGAACCCCAAGAGACGTCGGAACCGTAAAAAAGGTAGACGCTTGAATATGATTGCAGAACCCCTTTAACGCGGACTGGGGATCGACGATTTTTGTGTTTGTTTTAGAAATAAAATTTTTGTTAATGTTAGGAGTGTAAAACGTTGTGCCAAACCGAGTCGTAAATGTTGTTGCTGTGACACTAAAGTGTATGATTCAAGATCACTGAAGCTGCGACATTGTGTTCGAGCTAACTGTGCCGCCCTGCGTACACCGAGAGACAATATTCTCTTTTTGAAAAAGGGCGCGCCCCCTAGTCGCTGCTGCGCCAAGTAACCGAGTCTGCCATTGTCGGGCCACGCACTCTGAGCATCTGTTGGACACGAATGTGACGTCAGCGCTCGGCGATGACTCGGATCCAATCACACGCTTCGTGCCCAGGAAATGGCAACCGTCAATGCTGCTCGACGGGGTTTCAAAAAGGGTCTATTAAGGCGTGAACACAAGGTCCGCATTTTTTTTTTGCTTTTGGTTTTTAACTTTGTAATAAGGCTCTCCCCTTCTCCCCCCAAAACGTAATCACATTTTTTTTTTGTATAGGGGAGCTTTTAAGGGCTAGTTTTCCCAGTATCGTGTGCGACAGCAAACAGATGATGACACGAAACTCTGGACAGCTACTGCCATCTACGAGCGACGGCGACAACCAGACAACCATGGTTGCCGCCGTCGCTCATAGGTGGCGGTAGCTTCCAACCTTTCCACTCTGGCTTGCCGACTTGCGGCCGGCCACTGCTTCACTCCCGCCATAGTACAGCTTTGCTGGTCTTCTTTCTTCACCAAAATAGAAAGGCTGTATTTTTTTTTTTTTTCGTTACCGCAAAAATAAATTACGCATTTCCGAACTCTCATTTTTCGCCTAAATGCAGCCCTAGCGGTCCGACCGAGACGCTAAAATTCCACAAGCGGCCGCTTTCTTCCTCAAAACTTAGCGATTTTCTGGTATTATCAAAAGGAAGATGGCCCAAGAATTGGCCAAGAAATGGCTATGAAGCTGAAAGGTGCCGGTTACCGAGGGGGGGGGGGGGGGGGGGGGGGGCAAAAATGGGCGAAAACCTACCCCGTGTTCCATTGAGATTTTCAGAAAATCACATATAATTTTTGAATTAGATAACGGTTAGATCTGAAGCTCCTTCATATGCTTCTGACGTCGCTAGCTCTACATTTGGGCGGAGAATAAGCGGTCGTCAGTTTTTAGTTTATTTTTGCAGTGAAAATAAAAATAACCCTGGGAATTTTTCGGTGGGTGCCCTGCACATTCTAGCGCCAAACACTATATTTTACTGACAAAGTGGGTAAGTTTTTCCACATGAAAATTGCACCACACTACACTCTAAAAACGGACTGCCAGTTCACTTTTCTGCAGAACACGATGCGACCAATTACGGCCAACGATAGAAGGATACCAGCAAATTACAATGCTCAGAATACGATTACTAGAGTTGAAAAATATGATGTACGCAGGAAGAATATGAGCATGACGTTTCACGTTTTCATTGTCCCTAGACAGACGAAATGTTTGAAATCTATAGTGATATTCTAAACTTAATTCCTGAGAATCTTCTATCGTTCGCCATATTTGACAGTCTTCGCGTTCTGCAAGGAAGTAAACTTGCTGACTTAGAGGGACACTGACACCCTCCAATATGTTTTTTTTTTGTGCTTTGCCAGGCGATTTAATAACATGTCAGCAGGGTTTCTAATCAATATTTTGCTGCAGAGTTACGTACAGTTTTAAAGGGATCATGAAACGATATCGGGTTGCAATTTTCATGACTTTGCGGAAGCGTATTGGTTCTAGCCTGGCCAGTATAGACTCGCACGGACCGCCACTGATTCATACGCTTCCTTGTCGCGGTGAAATTGCGAGGATAAAAGGGTTCTATTTCTTTCAGCCTTGCCTTCGCAAAGTTCGATGGCGTAATTGTGGGATGGAAACCACACGCCTGACGACAGTCGAGCGTGGCTCATGGGATGGACACGAGAACTGCCTGAGCACTCGACTTCGGCTCGTAACAATCGATGTCTCGGCGGACACTCGGGTAGTGGCTCGTGTCCAACCACTGCGGTGATGACAATGGCCGAACTCTAGCAATGCCTAGAGCTCAGTACGTGTTTTTTTTTTTAATTTTCCAATTCCAGCGCTTGTGTATGAATAACGTTGACGGCTGTTGCGAAAGGCCCCACGAGACGACCTTCCCTAACTAATCCGACTGGCGCCGGTGGACGCCTTGAGTACCGTCGCCACGTGGCTCCGGTCAGCTGTGCCCGGAAACGAAACGACAGGCCGACATGGAATCGCTAACGCCCTTGATGAAAGGGAAACATCGAGTTGATCGGCGCGTCCCTACTTCCGGCCCCTCCCCTTGCTGCTTCTGTCTCGCCTCGATGCACGGCGCCATCGACAGTCTTGGGACGCCCTGGACAAAGGATCTCCTTAGCGCGTGAGAACTAAGATTCTGCACCTGGGGGTAATTATATCTTTGCCCCATCCGGACTTCGACGGCGCCGGTGACCTACAAAGGACGTCTAACCCACGGAGTGCGTGACGCGCGTGGCAGTGTGTGAGGGAAAGGGAATTGGCGTGCCTGAACGTAACGAACACTGACCACGACGTTTCGGTCAAGGCAGGAACGATAGGGATTCCCTACTAGGGACGTGGGGAAAAGTGACGTTATAAAAGCAGCAGCAGGCGGTTGCTACTTTGTGTTCTCGACAGTGTTCTCTAGTGTTCTCGAATGTGTTCTTGAGTTGATGTAACCTCTCCATATGCATATAGAAAGAGTTACCTATACGAAACACCCCACCTGCTCCCTGGTCCTTCACGATTGCGGCTTCCTCGTGAGTTCCGGCCCTGGGTCGGTTCCCTGCCGCGCACCAAGTGCCCGGACAACCGCTCGGTCCTAACACGGCATAGGCACCAGGCCACTTGGCCGCTTGCTCTGGTTCCGAGTTAAAAGAATAAAGGATTCTAATGTTTCTCAAATTTATTGGGCGAGTGCCATTGCCTCGAAATAAAAAAGAAATAACTAAGGCAAGTTTATTTAAATTTTAACGCTAGGGAGTGATTCTAAATAGTATTTAGCGAAAGCAGAAAAATTGTTTCAGGACATATTTAGTAACACCAGAAGCTCAACTGCCCGAAACCGAAACCAAAACACGAGCACCGAAGCTCATGGCCGGAAGTCACGTGACTACACCCGACATCTTGTAAACCCTGAGATGGGGAACGATAAAAAGAAAACGGACGAACACAACAAAACCTTGAGATTTTGTTGTGTTCGTCCGTTTTTTATCGTTCCCCATCTCAGGGTTTACAAGGTGTCGATTAATTACCAGCTCGCCTGCACTTTATCACTGCTTACAATTACACCCGACCGCGTTTTTTTTTTCTTCGCTTTTCCGGTGTTTGAAGCAGACGACGACGGCGACGACCACGAACTTCCATGCACACTGCACCGTTTGTTGGGCAATTTTTTCGCATTTAAATCCATGCTGCTCGATGTTCTACGATTGAAGATCGATTGGCCGGTACCACGAACGACAGTTCCGAAGTAGCGGCCCCACGTCCGTCGCAACGCTGGTCGGTCGTGCGCCGCCATCTCGTTGTCCAGCCAGTGGTACACCGCCATATTGAGAATGACGTGTACATGTACTTCCTCTGATCTGTGTAACATCTTTTTTCTCGATCAACGCATTTGCAGTTTCTTTAATGCGAAAAAAAATTAACAACCGGGGATTATATATATATATATTTTTTTAATTTTTAATATTGGATGTGTCCCTTAGAGAACATACGATTTTGAATACATTTAATACAGATATTTCGAGCGGCACGTGA